CCAATGTATCCCTCGTCCGCGATGGCAGCGCGACGATCTCGACATCAGCGACACCGACATGCAGGCATGGACACGCACAAACATCGCTGGCATGCGTCTGGTACAACCACACCAGAGTCCCTTGAGTCGTCGGGGACATCTATCGACTCGTCATCGTCCGAAGACAGCGACTTTGATACGGGCAATGGCACGGGCACGCCAGGTGATTCAGGTGCAGAAGCATCATTTCTGGGTTTTCCAAACTCAACACTTGCAGCGTTGCTGAGTCCGAGCCGCGAGCTGTGCGATCAGCCCTTTGAACTCGTTGTCGATCATTTGGCCTTTGTTGGACATCCAGTTTGGCTCGGTGACGAAGACCAGCCAAGTGGCAGGCGGCAAGACGTTGCTGAAGGCGACGAAGGCGAGGATGAAAACAATGAAGACGCTGACGCTAGAGGGCGCCGACGGCAAAGACACGCGCACGCTCCGGCCAACAGCTCTTCACTGGCTGTTCAAGTCGACGACCCTAAACTACCACGCCAGGAGAGCAGCAGCGGCAGCCGGTCATCGCTTTCCAGATCTAGATCTTCGTCACGGGGAGCGTCACCCATGTCCAGAACAACCCTGTCTCGCTCAATGTCATCGACAAATACTTTGCAGCCACTCGCCTCGATTACTTCGTCGCAACAGTCTCATGGGTCAATACATGGCTCAGGCAGGCTGTCTTCGTTCAACTTTGTTTGTGTGATTGACACACCACCTGATTCTCACTTGTCGAGTCACCTCGAAGGCTATTACAAAGATGTCGTGGTTCCAATTACAGCCAACCTCAAAGCGCTCGAAAAGAAGGAACGGTGGCTCGGCAAAGAGGCTGCCAAACTCCGTAAAGCACAGGAGAAGCTGCGCACTCGAGGTCAGTTCGAACGCTTTGGCGAAGCTGCTCTCTGTTGCTGACCTGTCACCGTCTCAATTCAGCTCTTGATGCGCTCGAGCAAGTCGAAGCACTTTCGTCCCTATCTGACCTGGTTTTGGCATTGACCCAGCTTTTCGCTGCACTCAAATCTCGTCGGCTTGCCAACGTGGCTTTCGGTTCGCTACCAATTCAAGTTCTGCTCCGAGGCGAGGTTGCCGTCGAGGATGAGGTGGACGCGTTGGAGCGAGAACGCATCGAATCGGCTTTGCAGGCTGACACTGGCAAAGATCACGGCGATGATATCACGAGACCACTGTCACCTTCGCGCGAGCCGTACCACAGACAACGAGCTCCACCTTTGTTTTCGAAGATGCGAAGGCGGCCGCCAGTCCGTTTCCAACCCTGGCAAACGCTGCTTCCGCTCGAAGACACGGACGAATTGCAGAAGAGTGTCGAAGAAGGCTCTCTACTGTGGCGCTTCCTCGACATTTGCAGTCCGACTCTAAGCTTTGCAGAATATGAGACTTTGCTCGACCTCGACAGTGACGAGCGGCCGATGAAGGACGTGGTTGAGCATTTGGTCCATTGGAACAAAGCCCGAGTCGTGGACGTCGTCTCGCTCAAGAATCCTTACGCCATCCGGCAAGATTTTCAAATGTCGACGTGAGTGTTTCACCTCGACTGTGGCTCAGGCAGTCCGCGCATGGCTCGTGCTGATCAATGCTGACCGACGATTTGAACCTTTTCAGACTGCCGGATCGAACGCGAGCATTTGCCGCCGCGTTCCCTGTCTTACCACCGCTGCCGATCGTTCTGTGCCGTGTCAATCCTCGAGAACCGTTTGGCAACATGTCGTTGTCAACGCCCAGCTTGCGCACCAGCTATTTTCAAGCGCTCGTTTGGCTGTTGCAAACCAACGTATTAGAGAAGCAAAGGTTTCACGTTCGGGTTGTCGTTTCGGAAGAAGTTAAGAGAGCTGCGATGCTCAAGTGGAGTCATTCGAATCCTCGTGGCCATCGAGATGATGGCGCGAGCACCTCTGATGGAGCTCCAAGAAGCTCAAGCGATCGAAGTTATGGCGAAAGATCAAGAACGAACTCACGCGTCGACCTCGATGACACGAAAAATATGGTCATCGTGGGCTCTGCGCTCAGTGGCAGTCCGCCAGCGCACTTGTCTCGTTCGCAACAAAGCAGCAGTCGCTTGCTGCATGCAGGAACGCGTCGTAACAAGACACAATCGGACTTGACTCGAGCATTCTCGGGCACAACCTTGTCAAGCCAGTCGAGTCAGAGGCCGGACGAGAGCGAGAAGGGAACGAGTGTCATTGTCGAGCCGGGTCGACCCACGGCGCTCGAACGCAAGTGGATCGATGAGATCTGTCGCGACAAGGACAAGCACGTTGTCCAGAAATTTGAAAAGGTCGTACGTATGTTCAATGGTGCGCATCACTTGGACGAGATTCGACATCGAGCTGAATTGTCTCGCCGAGACATTCGGATCGTGCTGTCGGCATTCGAAAGTCATCTCATTTTGTTCCAGCATCCGTAGACAGACGCTGTCTCATGGCAAGGTCTACGATTTCTTGTCAGACCAGCTGACCTCCATCACAACTCGTGACACTCCCAAGCCTGCTCCTTCCTGTTTGGGCCACACCGTTTCGACCTTGCATCCTCGTTCTTCTGCTCGCCTTCGGAATTCGAGCTCACCACCACCGACACCAAAGTAGATTCTCTTGCATGCGACCAAGCACGTCGTCTCACTTACGCAAGTAGCGCTCAGCACGTCCAGCAACGAAGGCAACGAGTCGAGAGAATACACGGTCTCGCTTGTCAGCACAATGTCGTACTTGGCAACGCTTTTCTTAGCGAGATCGCCCCAATCGCCTTCGGAGAAAAGGATTTCGATGTTCTCTCGGTCCAAAAAAGCTTCAAAGCTGTCAAGAAACTCTGGAGTGACGTCCAGCTCGCCTGGCAAGGTTGGCTCCGGGTCTTCGTCGGCATCCGGTGCTGATAACGGCGTCGCCAGGTGCTGAGCATACGTAAGAAGGATGTTGGGCAGGGTGATCAACGAGAGGACTGCAGGTTGATGGATCAGCGGACCCGGCTCGGCTCAGTGCGCATCAAGAACTCGTCGTACCTTGCTTGTTGTAATCTTGGAAATGCAGTTGTGTCTTTGCAGGCCTGTCTGATTCCGATTCTTCTTCTTGCGAGCGTGTTTTCCGAATCTCTGCCAGCAGTCGAGCAAAGACACCACACAAGGGCAAGGCTGTGCCACATCCAAGCTACAACAGAGTGCGGCTGAGTCTTTGGAGTTCAAGCTATCGTCCGGGTGCAAACTCACCTCGATCACACTTGTCCCTCGGACCTGGCCCCGCTTGCCCTGGAACGCGAGCTCGTCTGTCACTCGCACGAGATCAAGACTGCATTCCCAAGTCTTGAGACCACCTTCGTATACGCCTTTGACGAGGTCAGTGTCTTTGTCGATGTATGTCTCTTTCGCTTTGCCTTTGTTTGGAGTCGGACTGGCCCCATCGACGTCTTCCTCGTCTTCTTGCCGCTGATCTTGCAGCGAAATGACTTGGAACCGAGCATCGTACAAGTCTCGTCGAAGCAAGGTTATGCTGCTGTTGGAGCCAGTAATGACCACCGGCGTGTAAGAAAGAGAGGGAGGGAGTTCTTCAATCTGTGTCAAAGGTTGTGGTCAGCTAATGATTTCGTTTGGGCTCGAGTCTCAAGTCGAAGAGCGGCGACGATGCTTTCGTGCGTCGTCAGCAACGAACCAGTTCTGCTCGATCAACCAGTGAATGAGGGATCAAAGCTGAGGTGGACGCTTCTGGCTGCTGTTGGTCCAAGCGAAGCTGATGTAGGCTAGCTGTCGACTCGGCCAAATCTTGGTCGAGCTCGGACTCGTCAATGTCCTGGGCAACAGCACAGGTTGAGCATATCTGCGATTCACCAGATCTGTTTGGAATCAGCTCAAACCGGCTTACGAATGCGAATGAGAACATGTGATGGTGTCGTCGAGGTGTGGTAATGAATCGAAAGTCAGTCTTGAGATCTCTCGTTTCGACCAACCAACCTACTGCGCCTTGCACCTCGCCAGACGACACAAGCAACCTTTTCCTTTTGCATTCTGTTCTCACCGAAATCTGAGAGGCCTTGTTGAACCGCACATCATGTCACATGGTGGTCAGAAGATCCCACCGGACGCCAACCGCATCTTGTTTGTCAAGGTGAGCGCACGTGCTGTGGCAATCTATCGAATGCTGTATCTTTGCTCTAGCCAGAGTATACATCGAATGTTCGCCGAGTGTAGTCATGGTCCCTTGCTGCCACCGCCGAGCATCTCGTGACTCGCGCCGAAGCAGCTCATGCATCATTGAGACGTGATGCGCTGACACTGTTCTCACACCTATAGAACCTCAACTACAAAACTAGAGGAGACGATCTATATGATCTGTTTGGCAAGTACGGCGCCATCAGACAGATTCGATTGGGCAACGGACCAAAGACGAGAGGAACAGCCTTCGTAGTGATGGAGGACTTGATGGATGTACGCGTTGCGCTCTTTTCGGTACAATGATCGAGGACCCACGATGATACTGACACCCTCTCATCTCGTGCCCTTGCTCAGGCCAAGCAAGCCTACGACCACCTCAACGGCTTCCACTTGCAAGAGAGATATCTTGTTGGTTAGTGAATTCGAGCTCCGCTTGTTGCTCTCGTGACAATTCAGCTCACGCCAATTGCTGCCATACAGTCCTCTATCACAAGCCAGAGCGAGAGGCAAACAAAGCCGACCTGGCAAGACGAGAGAAAGAGCTCGCAGAGGCAAAAAAGAAGCACAACATTCCTGATGAAGAGACTTCTTGAGTTGACAGTGTCGTTTAGTTGTTTCGTGTTGCTGTTTGTTGTAATCATGTCTGAGTGAGGTTGAACATCATTGGCGACATGTTCTGAAGAGTGGGCTCGGCCTTGCTTGTCTAACCCTGCCAAACGGGTGTCGGGGGGATCAGCCCACCATCTTTCAATCCAGTGGACCAAGCAAGCCCGTCTAGGTGGCGGATGGCGTAGAGCAAGTGCAAAAAGAGCCAAAAAAAAAACGTTGCTCCCACAGAGATTCGAACTCTGGACCTCTTGCTGAAGCTAACGCGGAAGGCGAAAATACTAGGCAAGCGCAACTACCACTGTGCTACGGGAGCAGGCAAATGGATGAAGTTTGCATGACAATATGATTGGCGCAAACCACACAAAAGACAGGAGGCTGCAAATTTTTTCTGCTTGACAACAACGCCACTCGCATTTAGCAACTTCAAATAGCTTTGTGCCAATGTCTCAGGCCTGACTAAGCCGATTTTTTGGCGTGCACCTTTTTCCTCATTCCTGACTAGTGTAGGTCCGTCAGACGCTCGTATGATGTCATAGATCGACTTTGTGGTACTTGGTCGAGCCTGTGTGATCCACACGGCCCTTTTTCACGACCAGATCTTCTTCGGCGCGCGGCGGGCCCCGGAGAGACGTATTAGGAATCGATAGCCCTCCTGCAGCTGTGACTGTCAATGTCCGTGGCAACAAGACGGTGGTGACATATCTGAGTACGTTGTCAGGGTCTTGCAACGTGCGTAAAGCATTTTTTATCCTTTCTTCTGGTTGATCAGTTGCTTGTCTAGATAGTGGCAATGCAATGAAGCAACTCGTAGATAAAAAAAAAAAAACCAGTTGCAGTACCTTGCCTTGCAATGACACGACTTTTAGTCAACGAGCTCGCTGGGCTGGGATGAGGTCATCGTCTATTGCATCACAAAGGACAGCTACAAGTCGATCACAACGTGCTTTGAGGTGATGCGCGCCCTCGCCTCAGGATCAACTACCAACGTTTGCGTGCCATCCAGGATCAAACATGGCCCTCGTAGCTCATTGCCTGCATTTAACTTTTCCAACAAGTATACAGGAACATCAACTCTACCCGTGTCCTCGAAAAAGACAGAAGTCGTCTCAGATGCAGCGTATGTGCCGAGCGATCCAAATGACAGTCGTTCGAGTTCGTCGAACACCGAGGGACCGAGGCTGTCGTAGGATTTGCCAACACCTCGAACCCGGACATCGTCGACAATGATGGATGCGTTGAGGGAGAAGCCAAATTCCTGCTTGTACAGCTCGACGAAGGCCTTGTCCCATGTCTGCTCTGACTCAGGTTCGCGGACCATGAGTGCAGAATCTGTCCCGTTGTAACTGCATGAATAGGACTGTCAAGAAGAGCCCTCTGTGCAAGCGGAAAGCAGGTCGGGACTGACCGCATATTCAGGTACGGATGTATCTCAATCTTGTTCTCCGTAAAACCTTGCCTTCTCAGTTCCTTCCTCGCGTCTTCACCAAGCGTCTTCAGTCTCTGTCTCAACCCCTGCTCAACCTCTCCGCCGGCTTGCCACGTCTCTGAGCTAGGCTCCTGCATTTCGACGACTCGCTCACTGAGACTCATGCCATACGCTGACAGGATAGACGAGTAGCGATGAATCAAGATTGTTCTGATACCAAGAGCCTTTGCGATCGCGCACGCATGCTGTCCACCAGCTCCACCAAAGCTACTGAGCAGATGCTTCGATGCATCGTAGCCCCTTGCTTCCGTCAAGCTGCGAATTGGCCGACACATTGTTTCGTTCGCGACCTTGACGAATCCCCACGCGACCTCGTCCATAGACATGTCTTTTCCAGTCTCAGTGTTGATTTGTTGCCTCAACTCTTCCAAGACATATCTCGAAGCCTCTGCATCCAACTCTTGATCTTCATTCTCACCAAAGATGCTTGGAAAGTGACTTGGCATCAGCCGGCCAAGGACCAAATTTGCATCCGTGATGGCAGCCTGCCCCGCTCCTTTTCGATAACAAGCGGGTCCTGGATCCGAAGAGACTGATTCAGGTCCGACTACAAACAGCCCATTGCGCCAGAACAGCCGAGACCCGCCTCCAGCAGCTACGGTATTGATGTTGAGCTGTGGAGATTGAACGGTGACGCCAGCTGTAGTGCTTTCAAACACAGTCTGTCGAGGAAAAGGAAAAGTCAGCGATTGCAAGGGAGTCTCGGACGAGCAAGAGGGTGCATATGCTCACTTCGTAGGAGCCATCGTAGCGCGATGTGTCGGTACTGGTGCCGCCCATGTCAAATCCGATCACTGGAGCACCGCCAGGCTGCCACGAAGACAATGCGTATCCCACAACACCACCGGCTGGACCAGACACTGTCCCGCATTGACGACATCAGGTTTTCGCTCCTATTCTAGGCTGCTAGAGACACTTACAAATCGACTTGAGACCCGAGAAGCCTCCAACGTCAGTCAAACCTCCGTCGCTTCTCATGAACTCGACACTTGTTGTGCGTTCCGCTTCCTCCGCCGTCTTGGCTTTGCCTCCAATCGTATTGGCATCCCTCAAGCTTGGATCGAATCCGTTGAAAAAGCCATCGATGTACTGGAGCAAGACGGGTGTAAGGTATGCGTCCACTGTCGTCGATGTGCCGCGAGCGACGATGCGAATCATGGGCAACGAAGCCGAAGAAAGTGAGATGTGTTCAAAGCCAATCCTTTTCGCGATCTCTCCTATCCGTTGTTCATGATCTCACGGCGTCAAGCATTCTTGTCTGTCAGGATTAGTGGCTAGTATCACTGACGCTGGGAATGAACTTACTCGGGAATGTAAACGAATGCATGAGGACGATCGCTAGTGACCGATATCCTTCGTCAAAAAGTTTTCGTAGATCTGTCCGCACATCATCCTCGTCGACATGCTTGAGAATCCGCACAGCTTCGCCACTCAAGCCTCTGACGACTTCACCTTCTTCATATGACTCATCGTCGTAACCTTTCGTTACTCGACCTTGCGAGTCGAATTGAACGGCACGGGATTTGGCGTTCGGATCTGACGTGTAACCAAGAAGCGTCACACGCTCATCAACTTCGACGACATTAGAATACAGCACTCCCGGTCGTTTGATTGCGAGGTCCTGGTCGCAAAAGCAGAACCGTCAAGATCAGGACGGGGTTCGGATGGCAATTTGTAGCTCGCTCGCGTTAACTCACGAAGATTCGAGGACCTGGAAGCAATTTGAAAGGGAAGGGTGTCAGCTGACACCAGCTCACGCGCCGCAGACGCCTCCATGGAGAACGAGCGGACTGACGACTTTGGTTGCCAATCTCGAGGAGGTCTTTGAAGCCCTTTGTGACGACTAGTGCATGCTTGGCTCCTTGACGTTCGAGCAGGGCACTGTAGAATAAGATCGATTTGAGCTGATCGTTCTCTCTAAGAACACGCACAGCTCGACAGCTAGTCGGTTGACTGACTTGGTTGCGACGGTCGTGCTCAGGCGGATCGAGCGAATCTTGTGGACTGGAATGAGCTCTTTCCTGTCCAATTTATCACCTGTGACGTGCTCCAAGATCCTTCTGATTCCTTCCCGAGGTGCGTCTTGGTAATGCGAGTCAACGGACAACAGTTTGAGCACGAGCTCGTGTCGGTCGCCAGTTCCGTCATCACTGCTGTCACTTGCAGCGTCCTGTTGAGCTCGATCTTTGGGCCATGTCGCATGTAGATCAGTAAATGTGCCGCCTCGGTCCACAGAGATTTTGATGCTGTGGTCGGGTACCGTCATCGCGCGTGGCGAACGCAGTGAACGACCTGTCGCGTCCCGGGGCTCGAGCGTGAGCTTTGGCCTCAAACGGTTTCGCCCCTCCGATGGCGAGCACCAACAAGAACAAACAATTTGCAGCAGCGCGAGCACATAAACGAAAGTTGAAGCAACGACAAGCACCGAGTGATGTGCTGCCCGCTGCCAGCACGTCTATCAGCAATGCAGCAGCTCGAGTTTCAACCACACCAAAGAAGAAAACAGCAAAGCCTCTGTCAGCTTTGCGATGGTCAAAAGTCAAATTACCTTCGACTGAGATTGGGTTCAACGATGACGGTGGGATGCTCGAGCTCGAAGAGATTGATGGCGTCGATGTGGTGTACGGCGACTCGGGCGTAACTTTTGAGGTCAGTCGGCTCCAGTGTCACTGGCAGAAGGCAGCGACCAGGCACTGACACGCAGGCATTCTCGCTCAAACAGGTGGCTCAAGATGATCTCAGCGAAGTTGAACCAGAAGCTGAACCAGACTCGACCGCAAACTCAAGGAGTGCCAAACGAAGGAGGGTCAGCGACGCTGACGAGACGGACTGGGACGCTTTCAAAACGGAAGAGGAGTTGTTCAGTGACAACAAAGACGCATCAAACGACGCGTATGATGCGGCAGCCGAAGATGCCACTGAGCAAGGCATCAACAGCCAATTTGAGCTCGAGCAGGACGGCTCCGTCGAGCTTGCAGACGACTCTGATGACGAAGATGCCGTAGTCGGCACGCTGCAAGACGGTGAGCACTATTCTCAACATTAAACTTGTCTTGACATGTGCTGACGGCTGATTCGTTCACTCACCGACAGACGTGCCAGTGCCAGAGGCTTGGGCAGATTTGCCACTCGCTCGACCTTTGCACGCCGCTCTAGCTGAGCTCGGCTTCGACAAGCCAACAGACATTCAGAAACGGGTCCTCAGAGTTGAACTCGGAGAGAACGTCCCGTTCAACGGAATCGAGGTGAACGATGACGTCGAGGAGGATGTCACTGACGCACCAGCTGCTTCGAGCTCAGCCGAGCCCTATGTTTCGCCATTCCACGAAGAGGAACTTGAAGTTCCAGACGACGATCAAGACGACGATGACACCCCTAGAGAGCGAGATATCGTGGGCGTTGCTCAGACTGGTTCAGGTAAAACACTCGCCTACGGTCTGCCGATCCTCACCTGGGTCCTTTCTCAACCCGAACCGAAAGCAAACTCTCGAAGACAGCCAGCAGCACTCGTGTTGGCTCCAACTCGTGAATTGGCATTGCAAGTCAGAGCAGCTCTGGCTGATGTTGCATATCGAACCAACCCGCCTCTAGAGGGAGAACCAACACCAACGAAAGAGTCGGCTGGAAAGAGACAGCGAGGTCGTTATGTCAATGTCGTGGCATTGACTGGTGGTATGAGTATTGAGAAGCAAAAAAGACAGCTATCAAAAGGTGCCGACGTCATTGTCGCGACGCCGGGTCGTTTGTGGGATCTCATTGGAGACGTGAGTTGCTGACGTTGGCAAAAGCGTCATCGCTGTCCAAGCAAAACTGACGGCCACAACTAC